GTTTACGGAGTTGAGCGCATCAATGGATTGGATATGATTCTACAACTAGGAGTAGATCCTATGCACGCTTGTTACCTTGGTGTAACAAAAAAGGTACTTGAAAGCATGTTCGGGAAGTTGAAAAAAGCCGGATACAAAGGGAGGAGATTGCGTAAAACTGATCGAATTAAAACAGGTTTGTTCTGCTGGCTTTGATAAAGATGAAATATTTGTCTAATTTTTCACTTTTTTCTTTAAAGGTTCATTTTACTTTGAATTAGGGAAGCTCAATCCAAAGGAATTTGCAAGGCGTCCAAAACCATTCGAAGAATTGTCTAACTTTAAAGCAACCGAATTTCGTTTGTTTGATTCTTACATTGGTTTGCTTGTCACCGGGAAGTTCTTTGAAAAAGAACATCACGAGCATTTTATGTTGTACTATTGTGCTCTTCGTCTGCTTTCTATGAGAAATCCATTAAACAATGACATAGAGTTAGCAAGACAATTTCTTAGAAATTTTGTTCATATGTTTCATAGATTCTATGGTGCAACTGGTCTTACGCACAACGTGCATATGTTATTGCATTTAGCAGACTATGTTGAATTGTATGGAAATCTGCCTTCAATCAGCGCTTTCAGGTATGAAAACTTTATGCTAGAGATAAAAAGAACTTTAACTAAAAAGCATCAACTTGTGCAGCAACTTTACAATCGAACAGTTGAACAAACAAAAATCGCTGAAAAGCCTGGTTATCAAAACCAATTTGCAGAAATATTTCAAATGAAAAAGCGTCTATATGGCTGTTTATTTGCATACCGCACCTGCTATTTTAATAATAGAAAAGTAATTAGCGTAAACGGCAAAGATGATTGTGTTATGATAGATGGAATCCCTGCTAAAGTTCTTGGTTTTGCAGATTATGAAGGCCAAAGAGGCGCAATTATCAAAAAGTTTTCAAAATTACGCCAATTTTTTCAATCACCAATTGATTTTACCAAGATTGGTGTATGGTACGCTGAAAATTTAACCGAAGAAATTGAATTGTTCCGAAAATTTACTTATTTTTTCACTGAAAAACGTTATTCCTAAGAGGCATGGCTTAAAATTTATGAATTTTCAAAGTATGTCATGTTCGGGAAAATCTGAAAGCTCAACTAAAATTTTCCAGGAAAATTGACCACCTACAATTTTTTAAATATTTTTATCGTTCTTAGATCCATAAAATCTACATGTGGGCAAAATTTCATTAAATTCTTAGACCCTTCGGCCTATTTTGTCCGATAATAAAAAATCTCCATATATTAACCACAGACAAACAGACATAACACTCACAAATTGCGCATAGTCAATTCCCTTGCGTTTGACGTTTACACACTACCGCCATCTGTTCAGCGTACTGCCCACCAGAGTGTACTCAACAGATGGCGGTTATGTTTAGCGACGATGTTTTACAGTGAGAAATATTCAGTTGGTTATGTCTGTTGGCCTTTGATTAAATATGAACGTTGTGATAACTTTTAAACAGCCAGACATGTACCAGGAACGTGCTAAAAATGTGCTGAATAAAAAAATAAAAATTAATTAAATTTTTGAACAGAACAGGATTAGTCACCGCGACATTTTCAGTAAAATGGGTACTTTTTACTCATGCACAAAAAAAAATAACATGCAGGGTAAAAAGTACCCATGTTTTGAAGTATTCGTCGAATACATATTAATGAGTAAATCCCCTTTTACTCATTTAATGTGTTAGGCCACTCGCTAAAATGCGTGCGCACTTTTCTTTAAAATGGTAAAGTTTTACTCTTTAATTGGGACTTTCAAGTCACCGTGTGAAATGAAGAAAACAACTCTCACAAGATCTGTCCCAAAAATCGTTCGCTCAATCGTTTTTGGCATGTCAAGCTGTGCTGACTTTCATTTTGCTTGGTGAAATTTTTTTATTGTTCAGTAACAATTAATGAGCGACTCGAATTCGTTGCGAAGATTTTTGGAGAGGGAATTTGATCGAATCAATGCTCGGTTTGACAGAGGTAATTATAGTTATTCACTTTATTGTGCTACGGCACACTAATTAGTATTTTTTTTATATGTTTTTCTTTAGTTGAACAACAACAACGTGATACGTTGGTTCATCAACGAGCGACACGGGAACTGCTATCAGAATGCAACAACCGGCTCCAGCTCATCCAAAAGCACATGACGCCACCAACAAAACGGACGTTTCCGGTAAAAACCATCGAGGATTTACAAACTGTTGTTGGCAAATTCGAGCACCCGGATCAGGCAGCCGATATCAGACAAGAAATAACATATCCTTTGAGCAGTGTCAACCAGGATTAATGGCTGCGGGCAATAATGTCTGACCAGGTTGTTTCCCATTAGCATACCGCAGATGAAATTCGCCATTTGAACTTCATCAAACATATACTGAGTAAGTTGTTTCGGTTTTATTGATTTCATATTTAGTAACCGTGTTTGTATTTTTCTTCCGTATAGATAACATCACATTTACCACGGACAAACAGTTCACAGCCTTGGTGAACCAAGGGAAAGGAAGAGCATACTCACAACGACGGAGAGAAGCAAAGAAATCTGTGGCCAAGGAAAATGCCCCACCCTTGGCTCCACCTTCCAGAACTGTAGAGCTCTTTGGGAAACCATCAGGTGCGAAGAAAACTAAAAAGGAGGAAACGCGTGTTGTGGTGCATGTGGTTGAAAATGTAGATGCTTCTCCATCGGATTCAGCGGTTCAGGGTTCGGAGGAATCTGATGATGACATCGAGGAAGACGTTGAATCCCCTGCCTATACTCCGCTGAAATAATCGTAAACTGTTGTCGGTTTTTTCTCTCTATTTATATAATAAATAAATAAACCTTTCAAAACCAAATGTGTGTAATGTTTATTTGTTGAATTCAATTTCCTCTTCTGTACCATCTAGTATACGCTCACTTGATATCAATAATGTTGTCTGCAAATGCATTATTCAATTATATCTGTCGATTTAGTATGTTTTATCAGAAGAAACAATTTAATTACCCGATTAATTAGTGTACTTCATCTGGTTTCATCAATTTCATAAGCCGATTTAACCGATTTAATCGTACAAACAACTGAATGAACCGATTAACCACTCTATTTCGTTTGGTTTCATCAATTGCGTATGCTGATTTATTTGTCGACTTAATCTGTTTTCATCGTAGAAACAATAATTTAATAAACTGATCAACCAGTATATTTCGTCTGGTTTCATAGAAGCCCGGCTACAACTCTGTCATCCTACTAATCGTTCGATTTGCTCGCTTCTAGTTGACTGATTTCCTATGTTTTCGACTACCGATTTCGTGTGCTGACGCGTCGGCAACCTCCCTTTAAGAGTCGATGCAACAATTTATAAATACGTCGGTTTCATAGTCGGTCAATATTACCGACGTGAACCGATTTAGTCGAGGGGAAAATCGGGAGGATTTTTTATGGGGATCCATTCAGCCAAACGTCTTGGTTTGATTTAAAAATGACATATTGCTGTACAGGGTGTGCCATATTGTATGTTGGTATGTAAATATTGAATAACTTTGACATTTGTCAACCGATTGACTTCAGTAGACACATTTTGGAAACTTCAATTCAGTACAATTTTAACCATGAATCACTTCACACCAAAACAACGCGCTGAAATCGTGACGATGCACATTGAAAATAGTTGTAGAGTTGTGTTAATTCAACGTGCATATCGTCGAAAATATCGTGACAAGCAGGCGCCGACTGACAAAACTGCTCGTCGTTTGGTGTCAAATTTGGTTGAGCATGAGATAGTGGGAGATCGTCCACATGTCGTTGGTTGAAGTGGTATGAGAAAGTGTTGCCTAGGATCCAAATGTGTCGTATCGCCACCGCGCTCAGCAGGACTGGACGCTTAACGGTGTGCCATGCCACACTGCAAATCAAACAATTCAGTTTTTGCAACTAAAATTCCCTAGACATCTGGTATAAAAAAGGCAACCTCTCCAGGTTTGACGCTTCCAGACTTCTTTTTGTGGGGTTTTTTTTTAAAGCAAAGTTTACGCCAGCAAGGCTCAGACCATTGACGAACTCAAGGCACACATTTGTGCCGAAATCATCGCTATATCGCCTAAGATAAAAGTGATGGAAAACGCAGAAAAAATGGCAAACTTTACTGTGGCGGCTACTTGATTGATGTTGTATTCAAAAATTAGTATTTGAAAATCGGTTGTTTTTTCCAAGTTATTCATGGTTTACATACCGACATAAAATATGGCGCACCCTGTATAGTTCGAAACACACATTTACGCTATTAATCTATTTTATTGAAAAATAATATGCGAATAAAAAATGTTATCAAAAAATCAGAAAATTGATATAAAAGAAACACAGATATAATCCATTACCAATAGTGATGGAATTATATCTGTGTTTTTGACATGGACTTAAATTTGACACACCCATTCCAACACTCAGGTCATCTACCTTACCATTTTCACTATCATTATTATTTACACAAACACGTATCGAAACTAACAGTAGTCATGTCCTAAATCTGATATGAGCTAAGGTGAATATATATGCTAATTGAATTACATATCTGGTTGAACCTGATGCCGATCAACAAACGGTGAAGTAAGAAACTGTGTTTGACCGCAGATACAAAGTATTTTCAGTGTCAATACACACCAAAGCGAGTCAGTTGCGGATCTCTCGACCTGGGAAACCGAAGGCAGCTTGCAAACGTTTTGTTCGTCAATTATCACTTTGGTATATTACTCCATACAAGGTGCGCTGGACATCATCCCCCACTATAAGGCGACTGATTCCGCCGAACTATTTAAATAAAACGAATGATCTGCAAACCATTAATTGTGAATTTGAAAGCGAAAGGTACAACAAATCCATCCTCCTGAGGGAATTGCTGATTTGCTAGAGCAACGTGTTGAAATGGTAAATATTCGGCATATTCGTCAATCAAAAGCTTGATTTTAAACGACATTATTTTTTTTTCAGAAAAGTGCATTGTTGGTTTTGGCCGTGATCCTCGGCTGTAATGGTCAAGGATATCAAGGATATTACTACCCCAAGCCAAGCATTCCACTTGAACCAGCGCCTGTTTGTTCAACGTCGTATGTAACGCAGACCCTCCGAGAAGCCGTCCAAGTTCCTGTATATTACACATCAACCGTGGTGGATCAGCAATACTTCACAGTGTTTTCCACCGTCGTTCAACCAGTGACCCAAATTGAAACCCAAACAAGAACAGTGGTTATAACGCCAAGTCCCGTGATCCTATATTCCACTATCGTGTCCACCGTAACGGCTTTCAGCGGCATTCAGGATGATAGCAGCAGCAATCAACAATCCTTGAACAACGGTTATCTTCCTCCACCGGTAGTAAGTGACGATGCTCGGGGTCGCCTAAATAATGAGTACCTGCCTCCATGTGGAGAAGAGTCTCGAAGCAACACAGGGGTTAACATTTTGAGCCTTGCTGGTGTTGATAGTGATGCTGTTAGCCAAAATAGTGTACGGTTCAACCCACTGGAACAGCAGCAAATTTCGCTCAATCTCGGAGCGTTGCCTCCGTACTGATTGATGCGTGGTTTGCATGCAAGCGTCTAAGAACGAGATGTGGATGTAGGAAACGAGTGTGTGATGATGTGCGAATAGATTTAGGCGTTACATATTAAGAGGATTTGCTTTCGATCCTGTTAGGTGTGTTAAATAAAAAAATACTTCTGAGAGAGAGACACTTCTGTGTTCGTGTTTGAAGTAAGGCTGACATTGATTTTTTCGTTGACTACTGCTATATAGGCCTATAATTTTGTAATGTAGTGTACTTAGAAAATTCCACTCGTTCAAGGGCATTTGGTGGGATACTTGTGGAAATCATTATTCATGATGCAGTTCACCATTTTTTATAGAATCCGTTTTGTATTGTTAGGGTTTATAGTGCAGTTCCAAACTCCGAATAGTTGCTGTGTGCTTTTATAATGTTTCGCGCCTATATCAAGAACAACATGTGAAAAGGGCATACAAGCTTTTTGTAAACAAACCTTCTTATGCCCTTTTCTCGCCACCCATATGACACCTACGCAAACCATCAACATCACCGAGTAGGGGAAACTTTCCCCTTCCCGATGATATTGCTGGTTTCCATGGGCGACCCTCGGTTGGTGAGAAAAAGGCCTACAAAGGTTTATTTACAAAAAGCTTGTATGCCCTTTTCACATGTGGCTCTTGATATGATTGTTAACGACCAACCGGACGCTACCTTAGCTTAATCGAAGCAAAATTTTGAAATTGAGCAACTCGGCCCTCTTCTATTTAGTATTTGATGAATCTTATGACTTTTGTACGGTAGATTAATTTTTTTTCCACTGTTCCAATCTCATCCTCGCACAAGTCACCACGCACCGCACAGAGGGGTATTTATTCTACGCTAGCTGACCAATAGTCGATTTTCCCAAATACAGTCAGGAATCCTTATTGCCGGGGTAACGGGGGCGTGAATAAGGAACCTTTAATAAGGATACCCACAGCTTATGGGATTTTCACTAATGGAGGCTGTGGTGGATTATCTCATTTATTTCAATATATAAAGCTATACAGGCTTAGACAAAGTTGTTGTACTGGGAAAGACCAACAAGCCTGAATCATTGGATTCAGGTTTAATTGGGAACTACGCCGCTAGAGGCGCTTTTCTTTTATATTACTTATGACGGGCGTTATAATATATGGAACGTTGGACCCAAGTTAGAATATTTCGTGATCCTGGCCATGCAGAAAGTTGCTGTGCTGAGCAAAGTTGTCCAGGTGACCAAGTCCTTTCGGATGGTGGACATATGAGTTCAGAACTCTCTCACTACGCAGTTCTAGTGTGAACGTGCAATTCCTATATAAACTGTATCTCGAGAGCCTGGCCATATAGAAAGTTGCTGTCTTCAGCAAAGTTGTTCAGGTGACTAAGTCCTTTCGGATGGTGCTTATTTTATTCCATAACTCTCACACTACGTGGCGCTAGTAGCATAGCATAGCATAGCATAGCATATGCGATTGTACAAATCGTGGGTGGCTATATAATGGTCAACTAATACGTTTTGCAGAAAATATCGAGTGTTGACGCAGAAAATATCACTTGGGATTAGTGATTTTCCCCACACGAAAATAAAATCTACAATACAAGCATCGCATTATACACCTGGCCACATCCTTACAATCGCAGGGGAAGGGAGGGAAAGTTAATCCAACATCTACTTAAGAAGGTGCAGGGAACCCATACTACCTTCATAGGTGTCACAGGAACTCTCACACTACGTGGCGCTAGTGTGCACATAAACTTCCTTAATATGTTATGTCTCGAAAGCTTGTCCATATAAGATATTGCTGTACAATGTGAAAACAGGAGCAGGAAAAGGGATGACGTTTAGAGGCTGGAATTTTATTTCTTATGCCATTTTGAAATCCAAGATGGCGGTAATCGGTTAAAAAAAGTAAGAGGTTGTATCCAAGACTCGACCGTAGATTTGACGTAGGATTACGTGCTTGGTATCAATATTTGGCGACTATGTTAACGGATTAATCATTTTGTCAAGCTTTCATGTTCCATCAGATGTCACTGCTGTTGTTGGCGGTGGCATCGATCGGAAACTACACATTATTTGTTTTCCAATAACTGTTCACAGAGGACAGTGCAGTGCAAAACATGTCTGGTACCTCTATATATGCATTTAGATTAACAACGGAAGTCCCTCCTTTTTTACACATTCTGCACTCAAAATAGCTCACCCCTCACAGGATTTCCTTCCGAATTGTATGAATGGGGCGGGCCAGAAAGTATCGTTTGAGCAGAATATGTAAAAAATGAGGGACTTAGAATGTTAATCTAAATGCGGTACCAGACATGTTTTGTACAGTCAGAAAAGGTTAACTACCCCATTTCCGGCTTATTAAGCACAACCCGCACTTAGTCTTTCTTAATCTAGCGCAGTTTAGCACCAAACGGAATGTTATTATTACTAATGGCTTCCAAATTTATTTACCTTATCTTACGGTACAGATTTGATATAGAGAAACAAATTGTTTAGATATTGTTATAAGTCTAACACTGCTTCTTGACGCCAAACTCGGCCTACGGATTCTAAACTCGGCCTTACGCATTGAAACCGCCAATGAATTCACTTCGGCCTATCGGATAAAGAAAAAAATTGATTCGGTCGGAGAACTTCTTTTGTTTGTGAGAATGATGGGTGCATGGGTGCGTTCTCATTGACTTTATTCGGTAGCCTATTAACTAAATTATCGTACCAAACGTCTAATTGACTTATTAACTCTGAAATCATGGATTTATTTGAAGTTTTCTGATCGATAGGCCCAAAATCGGCGATTAGACCGAAGTAGTTCTCTACCCTACTCTATTTTGTATCTTCTATAGACAGGTTGAGCCTTGATAGCTAGCTGGTTGCGGGAACTGATGACCTTGACAAATGTCCAAATAATACTCTTTAACAAACTTGTGGTGGTCCTGAAAAGGACCGTTTAGTCGTGATGGTTGAGTAATGCTGAGCTATTAGGGTGATCAACCTCATCCGTGGCGATCTGTTAACTGTTTGGAGCAAGGTTGACGCGCTAGGCATTGATGACCCACAGCTACTCACGAGGAAACTGATTTCGATCGCGGTGCGGCTTCTTCTTCCTTCTATGGATGCTCGCTACTTTCAGGATGCCTTTCGTGGTGTACTGGAAAACGATGTTCAACGCCACACGCCGAAAGCACTGCTGCTGCTGCTGCGGACACCGTCGACCGGACACCACCACACACGGTGATTAAATGAGCACCGTTTACATCGAATTCGATTTTAAAATTGTGTTAGGGAATGCGCTGTTTGCAGGTAATCGGTGATAATTTTGATCACCATTGCAACAGTTGGACATTTGTGTATTTTTCAATAGTGACCTATTGAAAATTAATAAAGTGTTCAATTTAGCAGATTGGTAGATACATTCCCAATTCTTTGGCTTGTTTAGAATTAATATTCATCTGCTATTGACAGAGGTATATGTGGTCAAAACCTGACCTATTTTCGTCCCGCGGTCCATTTTGGTTTTTTTGAAATTGCACCCCCAATATGTTGCCGAAAGACATAATCCTACGTCAAAACTGTCAAATACCCTAAAATATCGATATTTTTGGAAAATGAGGAAGGATATCATTAACAGACATTATGGGCATCCAGATTGGGAATGACGTGTAGAGGCCGGAAATCGATAGCAGATGGCATTTCGGAATTCAAGATGGCGGCCATCGGTTCAACAAAAAAAAACTGTAAAATAACCTACAATACGGATATTTTTGGAAAGGTGACGACGTGTAGGGGCCGGAAATCAATGCCAGAAGTCATTGTTGAATCCAAGATGGCGGCCATCGGGTCAAGAAAAACTGTCAAATTCTCTAAAATATAAGTATTTCCGAAAAGGAAACGTCGTGTAGAGGCTGGAAATCGATGCCAGATGCCATTTTGGCATCCAATATGGCGGCCATCAGTTCAATAAAAACTCTAAAATAACTGCAAAAACTTACAAATATGGAATTCCACATGTACACTAGCGCTGCGTAGTGTGAGAGTTCTGAACTAATATGTCCACCATCCGAAAGGACTTGGTCACATGAACAACTTTGCTGAAGACAGCAACTTTCTGTACGGCCAAAAAATTGATTCCACATGACATCGGTAGATTTCACTTCTAGTATTATTTTAATGAGATAAATGAATGAAACATCTTTAAATTAAATGTACTTCCAACAATTCAAGAGAAAAAGCTATGTTTGCCTAATATGTTGAAAAAATTCCAAACCTATCAGTCCCTTGTCGCTAATACACGCATAACTAGATAATTTCAAGATATGAATAAGATGTAATTCTTCATAGGATATACGTTATGATCATCCCAGGATGCCATCAGAGTTGCTTTCAGGATTCCTCAGAATCATCTTATAATTTCTTCTGGCTTCCCTTGAAATTTCCGTGCATAACAACCTTACAAATTATCTTTTGGAATCCCTTCTTGTAAATCCTAGAATTTATTCTTCAATTATCTTAGAATTCTCAATAATTCTATTAACACTCCGAATACGATGCCTCCGAAAAACGTGTAACGACAACTTTGCAATGGCATAACTTAGCCATTTCTTAATGAATTTCAAAAATTGTGGTACCTTTAGAATAACTAGGGTTTGCAGATGATTTTGATTGAAAATAGAGTCGTCTACTTTTTTAAAAAAACGAAAAGAGTTGTTACACGTTTTTTTGAAAGGTGTGTTTGTAGGGTTTAGCAAGTGGCGCAAGATCTGTAATTTAGATTATGGGCACAAAAGTTCACAATTAGCCAAAATACAGTCATGCTTCCTATAAATTGATTCCTGGAGACAACGGAACGGTCCTCGAAAAATCCGGAACATCCGTAAAAGTGGTCAATCCATGAACCTGATCCTAGAGCTCTGCGGTTTTTTTGAAAACATTAGGAACTGTGATATAAAAAAAAAATTTGGTGTCGTGACATAAACATGTACCTGGATGTTCATAGGACCGTCCTCCGGAAGATCCGGAAGATCCGGAACATCCTTAAAAGTGATCAATCCATGAAACTGATCCTAGAGCTACGCGTTTTTTAACGTTAGGATCTGTGATATAACAATGAAACAGATGGCCATCGGACCGTACAGCGGAAGTTCCGTAACATCCGTATAAGTGGTAAATTCACGATCCTGATCCTAGAGCTCCGCGTTTTTTTTTAAACAATAAGAACTGTGATGATAGAAAGAATTTGAAGTTGTGACATAAACATGAACCTGGATGTCCATGGGAACGTCCTCCGGAAGATCCGGAACATCCGTAAAAGTGGTCAATCCATGAAATTGATCCTAGAGCTCCGTAGTTTTTTGAAAAACACTAAGAACTGAGGTGATAGAATGAAATTGTCGTCGTGACATAAACATGGACCTTGATGGCCATGAGACCGTCCTCCGGAAGATCCAGAACATCCGTGAAAGTGGAAAATTCACGAAACTGATCCTAGAGCTCCGTGGTATTCTTGAAAACGTTAGGAACTGTGATATTAGAATGAATTTGGGATCGTGACATAAACATGGACCCAGATGGCCATCGGACCGTCCTCCGGAAGATCAGAAAAAGCCGTTCAAATGGTCAATGATCCTAGAACTCCACGGTTTTTTTCGAAAACACTTGGAACTGGCATATATAAATTTATTTGCGGTCGTGACATAAACATGTACCTAGAAGGCCATGTGACCGTCCTTCGCAAGATCTAGAACATCTAAACTGATCCTAGAGTTTTACGGTTTTTTTTTTCGAAAGCATGTGAAACTGCGATATAAAAAAGAATTTGGGGTCATAACATAAACATTCGAACTGTGATATATTAAAGAATTTAGGATCGAGACATCAACATGAAACTGGATGGCCATTGGACCGTCCTCCAGAAGATCCGGATCATCCGTAAAAGTGGATCATCCATAAAACTATGGAAAAACAGTGGTTTTTTTCGAAAACTCTTGGAACTGCGATTTAAGATAGAATTAAGGGTCGTGACATAAACATGGATCCGGATGGCCATAGGACTGTCCTCCAAAAGCTCCGGAACATCCGTAAATTTTTCATACTGTGAAACTGATCCTAGAGCTCTGCAGTACTTTTTTAAACACTGTGATATAAGACACCACTGGATCACTTTTACGGATTTTTCGTATCTTCCAGAGGACGGTCCATGTTTTTGTCACGACCACAAATTCTGTCTTATATCACAGTTCCTAATGTTTTTGAAAAAACTGCGGAGCTCTCCGATCAATTTCATTGATTGACCTCTTTTACTGATGTTCTGGATCTTCTGGAGGACGTTCCCATGGACATCCATGTTCATGTTTATGTCACAACCCCAAATTCTTTCTATCATCACAGTTCCTAATGTTTTCAAAAAAAAAAACGCTTAGCTCTAGGATCAGTTTCGTGGATTGATAACTTTTACGGATATTCCTGATATTCCGCAGGACGGTCCTGTTTATGTCACAACCCCAAATTCTTTCTTGTCACAGTTCCTAATGTTGAAAAAAACGCGGAGCTCTAGGATCATGATTGTGGATTGATCACTTTTACGGATGTTCCATGACCCAAATTCATTCTTATATCACAGATCGTAATGTTAAAAAAAACGCGGAACACTAGGATCAGTTTCATGGATTGTCCACTTTTACGGATGTTCCGGATCTTCCGGAGGACGGTCCCATGGCCATCCAGGTACATGCTTATGTCACGACCCCAAATATTTTTTTATATCACAGTTCCTAATGTTTTCAAAAACACCGCAGAGCTCTAGGATCAGGTTAATGAATTGACCACTTTTACGGATGTTCCGGATTTTTCGAGGACCGTTCCGTTGTCTCCAGGATCCATATATAGGAACCATGACTGTAGGCTGGCTAATTATGTACATTTGTGCCCATAATCTAAATTACAGATCTTGCGCCACTTGCTAAACCCTACAAACACTTCTTTCAAAAAAACGTGAAACAACTCTTTTCGCTTTTTAAAAAAGTAGACTCTATTTTTAATCTTTTTACAATCAAAATCATCTACAAACCCTAGGAATTCTAAAGGTACCACAATTTTTGAAATTCATTAAGAAATGGCTAAGTTATGCCATTGCAAACTTGCCGTTACACGTTTTTCGGAGGTTTCGTAGTCGGCGTAAAGTTTTTTACCCACCGTATTTGGAGTGTTAAAAGTATTTCCATAATTATCTGTAAAAGCTACCCTTTGAAAATTAATCTTTGAAATATTGCTAAGAATTTCCTTGGCGTTCATCCCAGAATTGTCTTGGAAATCTTAACAGACCTTTTAAGGAATTTTCTGATTTTTTTAGGAAAATCCCTTGAAATTTAGTTAGCAGCGTATTCTCTCGGGATTCCCTTTACATTATCCTCATAATTTGGTTGAATTTCTTCTACAATTCACGTTGAACTTTTTCTCAGCATTTGTCAAAAGATCTCTTCTGAAATCCTTTGAAAATTATGTCTTTTGATCTCACAACTACATACTGGGGGTTATTCCGAGAGTTGAAGTGAAGTGAGAAAAATCACGCCGTGGTGACGTGACTCTTCATGTGACTTGAACAGAGAGTCACCACGACGTGACTTTTCTCACTTCACTAGTGACAAAAGTCTCTTCGACTTTCGAAATAACCCCCACTGCACTCCTATGGGTCAAAAGTTATCCTAAATAATAAGCTATGTCTCAAATAACAACGTTGGTTTCATCATACTGCTGCAGACCATGAATTAGGCTTGGTCTTGACAAGTTCGATAAAATTTGTAATGTTACTTGGAATATTTCACCATATTTAACTGTTTCCATTAAACCGAGAAAACTACGTAAGTCATCCGGAAAAAAAACCCCTGAAATAACCGGGATTTTAACTTATCACTAATACTAATAAATTCAAAAATACAACCATGAAGTCTTTATTTCAAGTGCCTTCGTTTTGAACACATGTTGGGTTACTATTCATCAGCAAGCTTTCGTTAAATTCTATGGTATCGTTTCTCGGATGAAAACTGCTCTCATTATCCGGCTGGCTATCTTCATATTTATTTTGGTCATTTCGTCGCAACATGTCAGCACAGCGCACTGGCTGCGGCAGCCTTTTTAATTTATTTACACTACAATGAACGAACAAAATCTATTGCTAACACAGCGTTAAACTTTGTATCAACAGTGAAATGTTGAGTATTTGTTTTATCTCGCGTAAGGAAGAAAGAAAATCTGGATGGACAGCACCAGCTTTCGGAGGAAAGATCGGAAAGAGAAGCTTCGCTTCTGGCATATCTCACTTACTACTACTACTACTACTACAACAACGGGACAGAGTATTTCTTGTTCATACGATATCACTACTAGGGGTCTAGATCAGGTTGAATCTTTCCGGTTCCGGTGGAATGATGTCGAGATTAAGCGGTGATCGCTTGACGGTGGCAGTTGCCTCGACCGGGAGGTATGCATTCGTTGGAGTACAGGTGATGACCGTTTCCGTTAGTCGTTCTGTAACGGTTACGGTGCGAATGGAGGTGACTTCCCCTGGTGCTGGAAGGTAGGCATTGGCGGGCTTGCAAACGGTTTGTGAAGCGGGAGGCAGAGTAACGGTGGAGTAGATGGTTGGGGTTACTTCGAGCGATGGAGTTATAGTGATGGTTTTCGTTCCTCGGGAGGTGATGGTCAGTACTGGAGCCGAGATTGTAGTGGTGCTGGTCGCTCGTGGTGTTTCCGTACGGGTGATGGTGTTGGTGGTACTGGCGGTAGTTGTGATCACGTTGGTTGGAGTCAATGTTCTGGTAACGGTTGTCGTCGGTTCAGTTGTCTGGACAACGAACGATGGCGTGATGGTTCTAAAATAGAGAAATTTTTAAGCCTAGAAACAAGGGATGTTACTATAGAAATTACCTGGTGATTGTCCGTGTGGCAGCCGTTTCCTGAACGAAGAAGGACGGTGTAATCGTTCTGGTTTGGGTGTTTGTTGAGTCTAGTGTGATCAGTCTGGTCGATGTGGGAGTTATAGTACGGTCTACGGTTACCGAATTCAGGTAGGAGAGTCTAGTTGATGTGGGTGTAACGGTTCGATTAATGGTGACAGATACTGCATAGAATACGTTGGTGGAGGTGGGAGTCACAGTTCGGTTGATGGTTGCCGCTAGCTCGTAGAAGACGTTGGTACTTGTTGGAGTCACCGTCCTGTTTACTGTTACCGATGGAAGGTAAAACAGACTCGTGGATGTGGGAGTCACCGTTCGATTGATAGTTACAGAAGGTAAATATTGAAGGTTTGTATACGTGGGAGTTATGGTTCGTGTAAGTGTAACCGAATCTAGGTACTCCAAACTGGTGTATGTCGGAGTGATAGTTCGGGTAATGGACACTGACGGCAAGTAGGATAAAAAGGTGGACGTTGGTGTGATGGTCCTCGTGACCGAAGTACTGCTGGCAGTGAAAACACTGGTAATGGTGGGAGTTACAGTGCGAGTATTCGTAACGAAAGGAGTTTGGCTGATGACGATCGTAGTCGTTGGAGTTATAGTACGAGTCGTAGCAATTGGAGATCCACGAGAAGTAATGGTTGTTGTTGTAGGAGGCAATGTTACTGTTGTGGTGCTTTGTTTAGGTCTGATGGTAGTAGTTACATCTGGTTCCGGAGGAAGATAGGAATTGGTGTTTCCACAGAACGGCCTAACACTGGTTGTAGTTTCCGTCACTGTCGTCGGAATGGTCTGTGTAACTGTTTCCTTTTGGATCTTCGTCTGAATTGCGGTCGATACTATGGTCTCGGTTTCTGTAGCCGTTTTCGTAACTGTTCGCGTCTCCCACGGACACGATGGAGTACCATCTGGGTAACCACAAACATCCGGTCCTCCTTCGCATTTTGGCTCGAATGCAACTATCGGTTTCTCGTTGGAGTATCCTCTGAAAACGTTTTCCGATTCACTTGGTTCGATCACATTCCTGAACTGTTGTGCCGCCTGTGCTGCTTCCTGGTCTTGTCCGAGTTCCAGCAACGGAATGTCCGCCCGACAGACCGCCAGCAGTGATACGATTGCCAGAAGGTGAAATTTCTAACAGTGGAGAGGAAATAAATGTACATGTTAGTATTAAATATTTAATAAGGTCAGTATGCTGATAAAATTTATTAAAAAATCACACTCGTAATACTATAGATAGGTTCTAAAAATGCAGCAAGTGATCGCAGACCAAGAACTTTACCTTGAACGATGACATGGTTGTTGACTATGCACCTGTAGACGCTACTCTTCGACCGATGTCTGATGGTTGACTGTTGCGGATTAGAATTGCTAATGCCCCCTCTGTTAATCATAGCATCCATTCCGGAAGATCCACCGAACAAAGGATTCGTTTTCTTTATAAATCGCGAAAATGTTATAGCAAAAGGCCACCAAATATCAAACAGGTTCATTCAAACCTGCCGGTACAAAACCGGCTTTGACGTGTTCGTTGTATTGTTTTCTACTTTTCTTCAGCATGGTGCTCATCTTTGCCATATGATAATAGGATGATAAATATTTGACAAAACTACAGCATCGCAGATCCAACGACCTTCAGTGGCTTTTATCACGTTCGGGCTGTGTCTGCACGGTTGGCACTTGTTTGTCAAGTTGCACCTAATACGCTTCTCCTATAAGTACGTTCTGAACGATACATATGCACCTAGGTATGTGAGAACTGGACAACTGGTAGATGATTTGAAAAAAAACACTACCAAGGGCAACCAGGCAACGAGGAGTTGTTGTACAAATTACATATTCTGCTCAGGCTGATAACCTATTTAAATCAAGTCGCTAGATAACGGTTGAGTAAACTGGATCGTGCATGCACAGATGCATCAGAGATATGGAGAAATGTTGAGCGTTTTCAGATTTTTGCATCTAGATTATGCAATGTGACCAGCTTCTGTTGTTACATAAATTAACTCAACAATTTATACGTTGTGCATATAAATAATCATTTAATGTCATTCAGATTCGAAACATGGATAAAATATTTTTTGGTTTCGTTTAGCGCGTGGTCATTGCCAGACATTTTTTTTCTTTTGGTTTGAATGCTGATATTTTGTTCACTGTTCTCAGCTGTTTACCGAAATAATTATGAACATGTCCCATGCATCTCAACATTTATGAAGATGTTTGTGCATTAGTCATTCAGTGTGTATGATTTCATTTACGTGCAAGGGTCTTTTTAAAGCAAAGTCGTTAGAAAAAGATCTGAGATGTTTGTGCTGTTACAATTGATGTTACCGTTGGAAACTTTAATAGGCAATACGTTTGCTATTTCAGTGCCAGTTTTTTACGTTTATAACTGGTTGTTTTTTAAGACATGCCCAAGATCTCGTGGCATTACTGCCGAAAGTGTGAAAACAGTCCAGAAAATTTGCCACTTTCGGAAGTTAGCCTATTCTTGAGCGATCCAACAATATCCCTACTGAACTCAAGCTTTTCTGAAGTTAATATTTTATGAGCTTAGTTTACATTTTTTCAAAAGCGATTTAAAAGTTTTGTAAAATTCAGTATTGTTTAAAGTAATTCTGAACGTGTTAAGCTCTTCTGAAATGGTCCAGTACTTTCCAAAGTAATCCTAAGCTTTTCTCAAGTTATTCAGTACTATCTGAAGTGATTCTGAACGTTTCCAACGTGATTCCATTTTTCCCCAATGACAATCCCATACAAATTCTCTATCGCAGTGGCCAGAACGTTCATTTTCCGATGGTTCTATAACTCGATATCAAGTTATTGGACATCAAGTTGTGGAGAGTTGACTGTTCTTCATCTATGTTGCCAAAATCTTTTTCGGGTTGACATCTAGAAGAAAGAAATCGATGTCCGACGCCATCTTTAAATTCAAGATGATGGCTTCCGATTTCAGAAGAAGTGTCAAATCGCCTACAAATGGCATCGAATATCGATTTTGGGCATTCACACGTTGTCCCCATTCCGAAAATACCCATATGGCCGCTATATTGGAGTCCAACATAGCATCGGATATCGAATTTCGGCAGCCACGCGTCAAGAGGAGCGGTCGTGGTAAATCCCGTCCAGTCCCACAAGTGCATCGCGAAACAGTTCAGAATCGACAATTCGACCGCGTCCCGTGTGAAAAAAATTGTTCAAGGAAGCCCAGATGACTCAATGGTGAGCTGGCAGTGGAAGAAAAGCGAAAACGACCGGCCCCGTGAACGCAAGAAAGGTGTGCGATTACTTCAAGCGCAATCCGAACCTTTCGATTCGGGACGTGGCCAACCGAACCGATAAACAGAATACGGTGGCCAAATCCCACGCCAGGAAGCTGTATCGCGAGTGGTTGGTGCAGCCGAAATACATCGTAATGGACGATAAGACGTACATTAAAGCGGACGCCGAGCAGATCCCCGGCCTGGAGTATTTCGTCGGCAATGCCATCTGGATGTTCCGGAGAAGTTCCGGAAGAAGAAGGTCGACAAATTTGCCCAGAAGTAATTAGGCAAGCGAACTGTGGATGCGTACACAACGGCCAAATATATAAAGAAAAATGCCTCCAGAAGCGCCTGCTGTCTTTCCCCGGTCCCACGAAGAGAACACTCTGTTTTGGCCGGATATGGTATTGTGTCATTACTCAAAACCGGTGATGGAGGGGGTACGAAGCCAACGATGTTGTTTTTGTGCCGAAGGAGGCAAATCCGCCAAACTCACTAAAACTTCGCCCAGTAGAAAAATTCTGGGCGATTGTGAAGGACAATCTCCGGAAAGAAGGTCGAAACGACAAGGATTTGAAGAAAGAGTGGATGAAAGGGTGTAAGAAAGATGGCGCAAGTGTTGCACAGGAATTGAAAGTTGGCGTTGAGTCCAAGTTGCGGGCATTTAACCTAGGAGAGGAGGATGAATAAACCAACTTTGCAAAAACATAGCTAATTTGCGTTTATATATTCCCTGAGAGATTAAAAAATATCCGACTTAAAATGAGTTTTTGGTGATCATTTTTATCTGTTGCATTTTTTTTCGTGTACACCCAACAATTTTGGTTTTATGAGGGTTATGTAGACCATGATTTGGACTTGTAGAATGCTATAAAACCTCTATAAAGCTTGCCATGTTACTTTGACAGTCTTTATCTGAAGTGATTCAATATTTTCTGAAGTTTTTCTGCAGTAATTCAGTTCTTTTCAAATTGATTCCGAGATTTTCTAAACTGTTTCAGTACTTTCAGAAGAAATTTTAAACGTTTTTCAAATGATTCTGTGCTCCCCAAAGTGATTAACATTTTTCTGAAGTGATTCTAAACTTTTTTGAAGTGATTCACTTATTACAAAGTGATTCAGTTCTTGAGGAAGTGATTGCAAACTTGCGAAAATTTATACAGTACTGTCTGAAGTTTTGTGAAGTGATTCAGTTCTTTCCGAAATTTCTTACGGAAAGTTCTTACGGAAACGATTATAAACTTTCTGGAAAGATTAAGTATTTTCCAAAGAGATTCATAAATTTTATTAAGTCATTTTATACTATTCGGAGAATTTCCGAGCTTTTCTGAAGTGATTCAGTACTTTCAGAAGTGATTACAAACTTTCAAAAGTAATTTAGTTTTTGTCGAAGTGATTCAGTACTTTTGGAAGCGATTCCAAACATACTTGAAATGATTCAGTACTTTCAGAAGTGATTATTAACATTCTGAAGCAATTCAGTACTTCCGAAGTGATTCCGAGCGTTCGTAAAGTGATCGGTATTTTTCGAAGGGATTCCAAATATTTCTGAAGTGAACTTTCCGCAATGTTTTAGTATTCTTCAAAGTGATTTCATTTTTTCTGATCTGCAGATCTTTTTTGATGTTATTCAGTACTTTTTGGAGTGGCTTTTGACACTTTAAAAGTGATACAGTACTTTCTAAAGTGATTCCAAACTGTTATGGATCGATTCAATACGTTCAGAAGTGGTTCCTAAAATATATGCTACTTTAGCATCTAACACGCTTTAACACTAATTTGATGTTTTCGCTACTTTGTTAATAGAACAGTGTTCTTCAGTTTATCACCACAATACTTTTGATTGGATTTATATCCACTCTCAAACTTTACAACTTTATTTTCCCTTTTCGTTCTACCTGTCTCTTTTATTCTTCGACCATCTAATTCATTCATGTCATTATTTTACCTCCTGAATTCGAAATCGGTAACTGACCGTTTTACCGAATCTTGTATACAACAACTCCTTATCCCTTAAAGAATGAAATCTATTAAACAAAACAAGTAAAATTAAACAAAATCGAACAAATTATTAACAATTCATTGAAATTTAAAAGTACGAACGTTTATCTAAAAATCTTTTCTTCTTCGACCTTCTCTTACTTCTACTGATAGGATTCGTTTCCATACTCAAAAATTCCTTTTCTTTTAACATACTTTCATCTTGATCACGAAAAATAAACGACTCAGTGGGAAAACCGTAGTATGAGGAGCTAGAATCTGATAGATTTTCTTCGTCCTCTCTTCTTCTTTTCCTGCTACCGTTGCTGGATTCAAAATGTTCTTTTTCTTCAATACGCTGCTGAAAAACATCTTCTTGAAATTGCTGCACTGGTTCAATGGGATTAGATGGCTGAATCTCTCCACGGAAAACAACCTTAACACCCATTTTTCGGCGATAGCTGGGTTCGATTTTCAGTTGTCGCTTGTGTGCCCATGCAATCCTGCCACCAAGAGAAATCTGGAAAACATATCCAGACACTGGTTTTAGAAATTTTGCAGGAATCCATTTTCTAATATCATTTTTGTTAGGATTTTTGTAAAATATCAAGTCACAAGCATTTATATTAGTAAATGGATCAAGTTTCTTTTCCTCTACTATTGCATGCATTCCGGTTAGCATCATCAGATTTTGTTAGGTTTTATTTAACATTAGTTTTAGGAGTAATCAAATCTAATAGGGTTTTAGATTTATATGAAAGTAAGCGTTCAGATGGAAATTCGCTGTCTTTCTCAAGGCAAATATTCCTATAATTGAACAGAAAATAGGATACTTGTTCATCCGTGTCCAATTTCCAGATTTCATTATCCAAAAGGAATTTTTTGAATACA